TTTTTTTTTGAGACAAGGTCTCCCTGGCTGGCCTGGAACTCACTATGTAGACCAGGCTGGCCTGGAACTCACAGAGATCTGTCTGCCTCTGCCTCCCAAGTGCTGGGATTAAAGGCATGCACCACCATGCCTGGCCAGGAAGATGTATTTCTAATATCTTTATTATCTAATCAGAATATACATCAGTAAGCAAACAGGCACAATACATAGTCACAAATTTTTTTAATCCAAATTGAGGGGAGTAGATGCAATTTTTAAATCCTGTGTGTGTGCACGTGCGCACATGCGTGTGTGTGTGTATATACATACCCATGCCATGACAAGGTCTAACCTTTATAAATCCACTCTAAAAAAACTCAAAAATATTCCAGATTCTGAATTTTTAATTAATCCACTAGGTTTCAAAGACTATGAAAGAGAGATTACATCTGAAGAGAAACAAGAGCTGTTCATTAAAGGTTTGCATGCAACAGAAGTTGTAAGTTAGTTATAACCTTTAACTTCATTGATTCCAACTAAAAAAATTAAACTAACCAAAATTGGCACTTATGCTATAAAAGGAAAGAAAGAAACTGATTTAAGAATTTTAGAGGTTGGAGGGATGGTGGCTCAGCAGTTAAGAGCATTTGCTGCTCTTGCAGAGGACCTGGGTTCAGTTCCTAGCATCCACATAGTAGCTTATAACTGTCAGTTTCAGGAGATCTAAAGTCCTCTTCTGGCCTCCACAGGCATCCCCCACCACACACACACACACACACACACAGAGTGAACATAAATGCAGACAGAACACTCATCATATATACATTAAAAAAAATGTTTTTAAAGAATTTTAAGCACTGAATGTGGTGATGCACACCTTTAGTGCCAGGACTCTGGAAGTACAGGCAGGATGATCTCTATGAGATTGAGGCCAAGCTGGTTGGTCTATGAAGCAAGTTCCAGACCAGCTGGGGCTATAAGCAGACTTATAAACTATATATACATACATAACCAAAACCACAAATATGGAAGATTAAGAATGAGAAATAGGGACAACTACAGACCCAAAAGATTTAAAGAATAATACAAATTCATAGCAACAAGTTTAATGATCAAAAAAAAATGAAACAATGGGGGCTGGAGAGATGGCCCATTAAAAGCACTACTTCCTCTTCCAAAGGCTTAGTTACTACATGGCAGCCAACAACCGTCCATGTAACTCCAGCTCCAGGAGATCCAACACCCTCTTCTGACCGATGCAGGCACTGCATGACATGGGTTCATTTACATATATGCAAATAAAACACTCATATACACATAAAATAAAAACGAATAAATCAAAAAAATTAAAAACACAAAATCTTCCTTAAGAAAAACAGAGGCAGAAAATTTGAGCAGGCTAATATCCAAAATGAGAGTAAATGGGAGATTAGCGGTTTTAGCACTGATAAAAGCAGGCTTTATGTGTTTGTATATACATGTGTTTGTGTACATGTGGAGGTCAGAGGTCAATGCCTCCACCTTAGTTTTTGAGACATGGTGTGACAACTTTGGTTGTCAACTTGACACATCTCAGTCACAGAGTTTCCTACTGGCCTGTGGACAATGTCTATGAGGCATTTTCTTGATTGTTGAGTGATGTGGGAAGCACCTGTGGGCAGTACCAACCCTGGGAGGGTAGTCCTAGGTTGTATAACAAAGCAGTTCAGGGGGGCTGGAGAGATGGCTTAGCAGTTTAGAGCACTGGCTGCTCTTGCAAAGACCCAGGTTTGATTCTCAGCACCTACATGGCAGCTAACAACTGTCCCTAACTCCAATTCCAGGGGAATCTGACAGCCTCTTCTGACTTGCACAGGCACTGCATGACATGGGTGTACTACATATATGCAGGCAATACACTCATACACATTAAATAAATAAGAAGAAAGAAAGAAAGAAAAAGAAAGAAAGAAAGAGAAGGAAGGAAGGAAAGAAGAGAAAAAAGAAAGAGAGAGAGGAAGAAAGGAAGCAAGCAGGCCAGAGGAGCAAGCTGGTAAGCAGTGTAAATCAGATAAACCTTTTACTCCCCAAGTTGGTTTTGGTCAGTGTTTTTTTCTTCTTCTTTTTTTCAATCTTTTTGAGACAGGGTCTCCCTATAGCCCCAGTTGGCCTTTGGCCTGGAACTCACTATGTAGACTGGGCCCAGCTTTGGTCAGTGTTTGTTTTATCACAGCAATAGACAGTAACTGTAACACATGGTCTCTCAGTGAACCAAGAGCTTGCAGATTTGGGAACCTCCTGTCTCCCCAGCACTGGGACTACAAATAACATCCAGCTATTTTTACTTATGTGTTGGAGATTGAACTCAACTGAACCACCTCCCTACCACCTATTAACAGTTTAGCTAACCTTTTTTTTTTAAAAAAAAATATTTTTATTTTATGTGTCTGAGTGTTATGCCCACATGTAAGTAAGTGTACCCATATCGTGCAATGCCCGCAGAGGACAGAAGAGGCTGTCGGATCTCCTGGGACTGGAGTGACAGACAGTTGTTAGATGCCATGTGGGTGCTGGGATTTGAACCTGGGTCTTCTGCAAGAACAGTCAGTGTTCTTAACCGCTGAGCCATCTTTCCAGCCCAATAGTTTAGCTAACCTTTAAGGAAGAGATAAATACCCTCTTTCAAGTTAACTACCTTATTACTAAAATAAAAGGTTTTTAAAATACTAAGATGCCAAAATGCCTCTGCCTCATCAAAGAAAATGAAACTAAAGTGTTGTTCTTCTTTCCTTTTAATGAAATAAGGTGAAAATTAGGAGATACATTTGAGGCAAGATTTAAGAAATTTAAGATGGCCAGGCATGGTGGCACATGCCTTTAGTCCTAGCACTTGGTGGATCTCTGTAAGTTCAAGGCCAGCCTGGTCTACATAGTGAGTTCCAGGCCAACTGGGGCTATAGGGAGACCCTGTTTCAAGAAGACCAAAAAAAAGAAATTTAAGATGCAAAAGAATACCATGCCACCATCTTTACAGTACCTAAAGACAAATAAAAGGATGATAAAACACACATTCTCTTACTTATTTGAAAATATGCATAAATTCTGGGTAAACATGCTAATACCTACAATCTGATGGACATAATTTTCCTCAAAGGATGAATTAAAATGGGAAATTTTCACCAGGCCTGGTGGCACACACCTGTAATTCCAGTGCTCAGAAGCTTGGGAAGTTGGAGGCTAGCCTATTTCCAAAAAAAGGGGGGGGGTAGGGTAGGGCTATCACAAGATAAAATAAAGAAGTTTCAAACTTTTAGAACATTAGGTTACTTACAACTGCAAACTCATCTCTGTCAAGCTTTCCATCATGGTCAATATCACTCAATTCCCAAACCTTAAAAACAGAGAGGAGAACAATGAATGAACGCTCCTTCATTTCCTGTGCTATTTGGGGACAGGAAAACAAAGCATACCAGTAACTAGAGTCTGGACTTGTTCTTAATTGCAGTGAAAAGTTACTAGTTTAATTTAAAGCAACACAATAAAAATGTTTCTAGTTTAGAAATCTCATGCTACACAATAGAGGAAACAATACTAGAAAATAGTTTTGAAAAGTCAGTATTTATTGAGCACCTGATGATCTAAGCACTAATATTGTTGACGGTGGTGATGCTGATCACCATTACCACCATAGCATCTAACACTGAATTAAAGTATGTAACAAAGTACTGTATTAAGTGCATTACAAACATTATCATATTTATTTATTTACTTATTTTATGTGTGTGAGTGTTATGCCCGCATGTGCACCCGTGTCATTCAATGCCTGAGGAGGACAGGAGAGGCTGTCAGATCCCCTGGAACTGGAATTACAGACAGTTGTTAGCTGCTATGTGGGTGCTGGGATTTGAACCTGGGTCTTCTGCAAGAACAGTCAGTGTTCTTAACCGCTGAGCCATCTCTCCAGCCACATTTGATCAACTAGGAATTATGTCCATTTTAAAGTTTGGAAAACAGGACTGGAGAGACAGCTCAGTGGTTTGTCCAGAGAACTTGAGTTCAGTTCTCAGCAACTCCATCAGGAGGCACATAAGGCCTGTAACTTCAGTTCAAGGGGATCCTATGCCTCTGGCGTTTCCTAGCACCTGCACATACCACCCCCACCACACACACATGAATATACATAATTAAAAATAAATCTTTATAAAGAAAATGTATCACTGTCAGGGCTAGAGAGATGGCTCGACAGTTAAAAGCACTAACTGCTCTTGTAGAGGACCTGGATTCAATTCCCAGGACCCACATGATGACTAACAATCGTCCATAACTCCAGTTCCAAAGGATCTGATGCTGTGTCGTGACCTCTGCAGGCACTGTACGACAAGGGTACACTTACACACATGCAGGTAATACACTCATACACGTAAAAATTAATAAAGATTAGAAAACTGGCACATGGTTTTCTAAGCTTTGTTCAAAGTCACACAACTAAGAAGCAGTGCAGACAGGATCTGACACTATGTAAATTTGCTGCTTAGGCAAGGAATTTAACAAACTGGGGTTTAAAGAAGTAGTTATGGTTTGAAATCTGAAGAGCACAGGAAAAACTACTTTGGAAACACCATAAAAGGAGCAGGGAGTAGGGAGAAGCCCAGATAAACTCAGTGATCATCAATTTATTTCAGGCTTTCACAAAAGCCTGTATACAACCCCAGAGAAGGCAGATAATTAGCTTCATGCAAAACTGAATTCTTTAAATTTTTTTAAAAATTTCATGTGTATGAGTGTATTACCTACATGTATATAAGTACACCCTTGTCATGAAATGCCCACAGAGGTCAGAAGAAGACATCGGGAACTGGAGTTACTGACAGTTGTTAGCCACCATGTGAGTGCTGGGATTCGAACCCAGGTCCTGTGCAAGAGCAGCCAGTGCTCTTAACCGCTGAGCCATCTCTCCAGTCCACAAAATTGAAATTCTTAGTAAAAGCAAAGACTTCTTAATAAAGTCAAAGAATTAAAGTCTTGAAAGCATTTAAGAAAAAAGATCTAAAGAGAAAGACAAGAATAAAAGGGACCTAAGGATGAACAAAGGCGTGGTATTACAGACACACAAACTGTATGAAGAAAAAAGTCACTTCAGAAGCTATGGTAATAGAGCTTTACAAGATGAAAAAAGTTATGAAGACGGATAATGATGGTGGCTGTCCAGCAATGTGAATGCACTTAACATTATTAACTGTGTATTTAATATTTATTAAGATGGCAAACTTCTTATTATTGGTATTTTACCACAATGAAAAACATGAAATATGGGCTGGGGAGTGTGAGTGCTTACCACACAAGCATGAGAGTCTGAGTTCAACTCCCAGAACCCATGTAAAAAGCTTGGTGTGGTACTGCAGATGTGTAATTCCAGCACTGAGGATATGGATACAGATCCCTGGAGCTTGTTGGCCAGCAGTCTAGTCAAACTGGTGAGACACAGGCTAATGGCTCTGTCTCAAATAAACAAAGTGGGAATAAAAAAAAATACAAACAACCAACCAAAGTGGACAGTTCCTAAAGAACACCTGAGACTGTCCGCTGGCCTCTGGATGTGCAGACACTGCAAATGCACATATATACACAACAACGACAAAAAAACAAAAAACAAAACAAAACAAAAAACCCAAAAAGCAAAACATAAGATAGATTTGTGAGCATCCCCAAGATCCACATGGTAGAAGAAAACTGCCACCCACAAGTTGTTCTCAAAAAGATAAAGGGAAATAAAAGGGCCTGAGATTTAAAGTCTTAGTGCAGTCGAAGAATTAAAGTCACAAACTTATAGGAAAAGATCTAGAAACCCAGTTCAAGTAGGACAGCAGAATTTATGATTTCGGAGACTAGAGAGTTGGTTCAGAAGTTAAGAGCACTGGCTGCTCTTGCAGAGGACCTGGGTTCGATTCCCAGCACCCACATGGCAGCTAACAACCATCCATAACTCCAGTTCCAGGGGAATCTGACTCCCTCTTCTGACTTCTACGGGCAATGCATGGCACAGGTGCAATTAAATACATATAGGTAATACACTCATAAAACATAAAATAAAAAATATAAATTAAAGAATTTATGATTTCAGAAATGAAACTATTCCTTGCAACAAGACCCCATAATATATTGTGTAAGGTAACAGGCATACAATACAGATGGTCCCTAAAATTTTCAAGCAATTAGGAGATCATTCAATTATATATGAGAAGAAAAACAAACTTGCTGAAAGGACTGACATATATAGCTAATTCCAACCACTCATATTTCATAGGCAATAACTAAAACTAGAAACATAATGACAATAATCTATGTTATAAATATAGAAAATTCTATAATGACACAACTTTATTAGTGCTCCTCATAAATATAAAATTAAAATACATAATAATACAGCTAGCAAGATAATGTAATCCAAGTACTCAGGAGGCTGAAGTAAGAGGTTCATGAGTTCCAGACCAGTGTGAGCTACGCAGTAAGACCCTCTCTTATAAAAATATGCATTTAATATCTTACTCTTCCAAGGATTTCCACAGGTAACTTAGAGTTGAGCAACACTGGTTTCACTTTATCACCAGACAAAAATCCATCCACTGGGCTTAAACTATCAAAAATTGCATCGTATTTGGCTTTATCTTCAGACTACAATATAAAATGAAAGAAGATGATAATAATGATGAAAAGATTTAAATGCATAAACAAGAATAGACATTTTAAGCTAACATTTAAAATTTCTTTTTCAATTTCATCAAAATATATTAAATAATATCAAAGTGGCTCTACTAAGGAGTCTAGTGTCCCCTATTCCTCTTGAAGACTTTTGCTTTCCTATGGTAAGGTTAAAATCAAATCATTTCAGAGATAGAAGGAATCTGAAGAGTATCTAGTCTGCTCACTTAAACATAACTATAGCAAGGAGGTATCTTTTGTAAGAAGATACAACAGTCATGACATTCTATGTCTCAAATTCAAAGAAATAAATTTTTTAGGTGCCAGGTGCAGTGGCGCAAGCCTCTAATCCCAGCACTCGGGAGGCAGAGGCCGGCAGATCTCTGTGAGTTCGAGGCTCAAAAGACCAAAAAAACCCAGCCACAAAATAGAGTAGCAGAGCTAAAAGATCCCACAAAGATTCTCAGTTCCAGTATTTTCCCGTATCTCCTTGAACTTACATACGTGAAAGTCTAATGCAGATTGCAATATACGTTTGGGAGTAGGGAGAGAAGGTACTTGAAAATAAGCAGCAAAGTAGTCATCAAAATTTACTTACTTTCACAGCCCATGCGAGCTCAGCTGCTGGGGTCCCACCGGTTAGCAAAGGACTACTGGAATCATGCTAAAAAAGCAAAAAGCAAAATGAACTGTTGAAGACCTCCCACCAAGAGCCAATGAAGAAGATGTTACTTGCATTTAAATACATTTGTACAAAATGGGAGATACCAACATTGTTTCATTTTAACTAGACTTCCATCTATACTCATTGAAATAAAGACCTTTCACTTAGCCACATGTATCACCACTGGAGCAATAACTAAACATGTTAGTACAAAACTTGCTACAAGAAAGAATAAGGTAACATACCTGAATGTTACCAAAAATATTTAAGAGCTCTGTTACATGATGGCTTTCCCCAAATAGTGCTTAAGGAAAGCAGACTAGAAAAACAAACAAACAAACCTGATTTAGCACTTGTAAGCTACGGGCACATACCTGACAGCAGCATGCTCCAGTTATCATCTTTATCTGGCTGTGGTAAATATATCTGAACAAATTCCTATGATAACCTCAAATGTCATGTCTAAACAAAGAAGTACAAACATTCTCAAACTGAAGTTAAATACTTAATACTCCTAAAATACTAAGTTTTTAATAAGAGGCATTGGGGATACAGCTCAGTGGTAAAATGTGTCTACTATGTGCAAGGCCTTGGGTTTCAGGTTTCAGCCCCAGCAACACCAAAATTAAATTTAGAATGAAAACAACAGCAATTAAATTTCTAAATAAAAAAAAAAATTGGGGGTAGGGAGGATGAGCTTTATCATGTAAAATGCCATTTCCCAAATAATGATAATTAAAATAATGTACAATCAGCACACAGATAAATAGAGCAATAGCTAAGAACAGAAAATGCAGAAAGAAGTCAAAATATACATGACAATTTAGGTCATTATTGATGTGGCA